GAGGATGAAGGAAGGTCATGAAGGGCCGAGGTATTAGGGAAGGTCAGGGAGTGTCAGGGAGGGTCAGGGAGGGTCATGGGGGGTCAGGGAGGGTCAGGGAGAGTTAGGGAGGGTCAGGGAGAGTCAAGAAGGATCAGAAAGGGCCAGGGAGCGTCGGGGGTGGTCAGGGAGGGCCAGGGAGGGCCAGGGAGGGTCAGGGAGAGCCAGGGAGGGTCAGGGAGGGTCAGGGAGAGTCAGGAAGGATTAGGAAGGGCTGGAGAGGGTCAGGGAGGGTCAGGGAGGGCCAGAGCCCCAGGCCAGAGCCTTAGCTTCATCCCAGGCCTCCCAAATTCACCTCCTCCCAGCCCCGTCCTTGTGGCCCACTGAGCACCCATGCAGGATTGAGCTGCAGTTCAGCACCAGAGGTCGAGGGAGGGAAGAGACTCTCCAAGGTCCCTCAGCAACTGGGCCTGGGGTGTTTGGGGGGGCAGGCAAGGTGGCCCCGTGGGAGCTGGGCTGGAGCTGGGCCAGGTTCCGAAGGGAGGACGGCCTTTGAAGAACAAAGGAGCGGGCTCAGGGTCCCAGCGGGAAAGGCTCCAAGCTGGCAGGGCTGCTTGGACGCTGGCTCTGTTTTCTAAAAACACAGATGGGCCAGGAAGGGGGTCAGAGTGAGGCCGGGAACATGGGCCCCCTCCCCACCAGGTTCTGATGGCTCAGCAGCGAGTCCACACGGGGCTGGAGGGGGCGGGACCAGCCCAGAGGCTCTAAGGCTTCTGACCCCCAGGCTGGGGACCTCTAGGCTGGAGTGGTCTGGCTCTCATGGGTTCACAGATGGGGCCCCTGAGTGTGGCTGAGGGGCTCAGGCTCAGCCCCCGGTGACCTTGTAATGTCGGTCCGGGGCTCAGCCTCCCGGGTCTGGACATTGGGAGCCTCTCTGGATGAGGAGAGCCGGGAAACAGCACCCACGTCCACCCCCTGCCTCACAGATTCCAGCTCTGACGTAGCCGTGGGCCCAGCAGTGCCTTGGTGGGGGTAGGAACTATGGGGTGACCTGAGTCTGCTGCCCTAGAAGGGGCAGCCTCAGGGACCCCTCCATGGAGCCCTGGAGCCCACTGGGACCTGTCCTCCCCCAGCTGCAGATGGACAGGGGAGGGATGAGGCTGGCAGGGACCTGGGAGCTGCGGGCCCCAGGGGTGTGTGTGGGGACGGTGCGCTGGCGGGACTTGGCGCCACTGTGGCCTGACCACGCGGCGGTGAGACAATGGGGAGGCCCCCCCATCAGCGTCCACTTTCGAAGGAATCTGCCTCACTGTCCCTGTGCCGAGGCCAGAAACAATAGTGCTGGAAGGAGGGCGGGAGGGGGGGCCCGGCCCCCACCACCCTGTTTATCTCCGCGCTTTCCAGACCCCTATCCGCCTCCGACCCCCAAATGTTCTTTCTGGAACTGACCTCTCTCCTCTCGGCACTACGTGGGAACGGGGCTGGACAAGGGAAAGAAATACCCCTGCCCCAGCAGGGCCCTGCCCGAGGCCTCCCGGGTCCCAGCGTCCCTGCCTCACCGAAGCCTCCCAGCTCCAGGGGCCAGCTGTCCTGACAGCAAGCACCGGCCCCGCAGCCCCCAGCCCCCAATTCCTCAGAGCCCCGCAGACCCGTCAGCAGAGGGTCCCACTGTACACGGGGCCGCGACGAGCTCAGCCACCGTGTGGGCTAGGGGCTGCTGGAGGAAGCCGCCCCCAGGAACGTCCCACCCAAGGCCCCAGGTCCCCACCACTCTGGGGCCGGGGCTCAGGGTCTCACTGGAGACTCCCAGAATGCTGGGGACCTGGTGCTTTTGTCCAGCTGCTCCCGCGGGGAGGCCCGGTCCCCAGAGGCTGGGGGCTGAGACCGTCCCTGTCCTAAACGCCAAGGCCTCTAAAGCCAGTGTTCCCCCAGCCCCGGTGAGTGCCCCCTGGCAGGAACTGGGAGGCGCGCAGACCCCTTCAGAGCCGACTGTTGGCCTGGACAGCACCCAGGGACCGCATCAAAAGTGGGGCTTTGGTGCCCTCTGCTGGTCCTGTCTGTGAATGGCCGCCCCGGCCCCCTCGCTGGCCTGGACAGGTGCCTGCTCCTGGAAGCCACCTGCGCTGGGGGCCTGCCCCGCCTGGGTCCGACGACGGGCTCCCTAAGGGGGCGACACAGGGGTCTGTGTCTGAGCGGGACGCAGACCCTGGCCGGGGCTCAGCCGGGGCTCTGCCAGGGGGCCTTTCCGGGAGCTCAGCCCACTGGTTCCTGGTCTCGCTCCCTCTCCTGGGCCAGCCCCCCGCCCGGCACCAGGCCTCCAAGGGTGGCAGTGGGGGACGGAGCAATGCTCCGACATCCCTGAATCTGCCTCCCTTGCCCCTCAGGGTCTGCTCAGGCCTGGAAAGCGGTGAGGACGGCAAATATTTACTGACAGGACAGGGCAAATACTGCCCCCAGGGCCAGGAGGAAGGGCCAGTTTGTCGGTGCCAGGAGCAGGTGCAATCTGGGGAGCCAGCCTGGAGACGGCACCGCCGCCAGCGTGTCCTCCGTGCGCGGGCACCCAAGGACACACATCCCGGCTCCAGCCTCGGTCTCCCCACCGCACTGGTACTCGTGACGGTGGAACACGGGACAGACGGGAGAGCAAGCGTGTGGGGAGGGGTGAGGCGGCAGCACCCCCTGGGAGACTCCGGCCCTCCGGTGAGGGGCTGGGGGACCCAGCACGGTCAGGCGGCCGCTCCTCCGCATCCCGCTGTCCGTGGCTAAGGGGCATTTGGACAGAATGCCGCTGACGGCAATGCCCCTGCCAGGCCCGCGGGCGAGGGAAGCCCAGGTTCCAAGGGCAGGCAGGGTCTGAGGCCATGGGACGACTGTCCTCCCAATTCCCAGAAGGGGCGGAGCCTGGGCCCGGAGGGGTGGCAGAGCCAAGGTCTGTGGGCCTGGCTTCCGTGGGGTGACCTGGGGGCTCTGGGAAACCGGGGCATCTGGGGTTCAGGGCTCAGGGAGATGCCCAGCAGGAGACTGGGTCTGACCCCACCTCTGCCCCCGGGGACCCTGGCGACTGGACGTCCACTTCTCCCTGCTTCGGGGATCCACGTGTGGGAGGGGGTACGGCGAGTCCCCGCCTGCCTCGTCAAGAACACAGCCATGGAGGCTGAGGGGCTGGTGGGAGAGGCTCGGCAGGAAGGTCTGGGTCTCAGGGCCGCGGTAAGTTTCAGGAGGGAAGTGGGAGACAGGCTCCAGGCAGGGGGCCCAAGAGTGGCCGCACACCATGACCAGGTCTCCTGGGTGGACAACCCCCCCCAGTGGACATGAGCCCTCTCCTGAGCCTCCCCCACAACGGAACACCCCCGAACCCCCAGCGGCACCCACAAGCAGCTGCACTGGGGGTCCCACCAGCTGAGAGGGCCCATACACTCCTGCTCCCCGCTCCATGGGATTTGCTGGCACCTGAGGGGGAGGGGGCCCCTGGGTCATCTCTCAGGGTCTTGCCCACGAGCTGGCCAGCCAGGACATGGGCTTGGCTAACCGCTGCTAACCCTGACCCCGGGGGCCTGCTTCCCCATCCCAGCTGCGCCCAGGCCGGCTGTGGGCGCTTACGTACCTCAACTCCCGCGGGACGCCCCTGTCTCTACCCCCGAGGATGGGGCCGCCCGGGTGTGCCCATGGACGATTTGCTGTTGATGCCAGCCGCCTCCTCCCTTCTCTTCCAGGTCCCGTGTCCTGCCCTCAGCTCCAGGGGCGGAGCTAGCTGGGGACCAGCCACGTGGGGGGGGGAGTCGCAGGGAAGGGGGTGATGTCACGGAGAGGGGGTGGCCCAGGAGGGAACCAGAGGGCTGCAGGAAGGTCGCCAAGACAACCAGGCCCTCCCAGGAGGGGGATCTACTTCTGGCCACGAGGCCGCCCCTGAGTGGTCTGCAGACTCAGGGGTCCCAGGCACCCAGTCCCAGGCCCAGCCGTCCCGAGCCCCGAGCCCGGGCGGAGCCTTCAGGAGAGGCGCAGATTGGTTTGGCCTGGGCGGCCGGCTGGCCGGCTGGTGTGCAGCCAGGGTGACCCGCTGACCTCCCCGGCCACAGCCAGTCCGGACAGCCCCCAGGCTCTTTGGCACCAGGTGACGGCCTAGGCGGGTGCCCAGTGGACCCACACCGGAGGAACCCTAAAGACCTGAATGCCACGTGACCTCGTCCTTAGGCCCAAGGGCCCTTCTGGGACTGACCACCATGTCTGGGCTGCGGAGCGGGAGGAGAGGGCCGCAGGGCAGCAGGGACGCCCAACCCGGGCGCTGTGGGCTGCAGTCCTTGGGGGGACACAGCCGAGACACCCTTGAATGCTGAGCCCAAGGTCCCTGCCCAGTGCCCACAGGGTCCGAGTCTATCCTGCAGCCCAAGCTGCCGTTCGGTGGCTCCTGATTCCTCCAGGACACGCGTGGGTTCCTCCGGCTGGGTCTGGGCTGGGCTGGGGCGGCCCTGGGCCTGCCCAGAACAGGGGTGGCCTACGGGCACTAGAGCGGCCGCGGGCAGCCTCTTAGGCCCTTCTCTGTCCCCTACCCTGCAAGGCCCCGTCCTCCCCTCAGCCTCCGTCAGAAACAGCTCCCAAAGTAGAGCACCGCCAGGCTACGTGGGGAGAAATGGCTGTAATGTTCTCCTTCTCTTCCCTTGGAAAGCGCTCTGGGGGCCTGAGAACTCAAGACTTTGGCGCTAAGAGAATGTGCTCCCAGCCAGTGCCCCCAGGCCCCCCAGATCCCCCAGAACCTTTCTCTGCTCTGTCCTGGGCAACCAGGGGCCGTGGGGGCCTCCCAGCACCCGGGGCGGGGGGGAGCTTACCCACGGGCACCCAGCGAGCAGGGGCTGAGCTTGGAGGGCCTGGTGCAGAGAGCAGGATGGGGGTCTCTGGAAGGCACCCCCCGGCCGACGCCTCCGTCCCCACGCCACACAGACAACACCAGCCAGGCTCATTCAAGGGTTTATTAACTCGCTTGGGGTGCAGGGCGCGGAAGGTCCCGGGGACACCGGTGCCTGGGGCGCGTCCTAGTTGCAGTAGTTCTCGAGCTGGTAGAGGGAGCAGATGCTGGTGCAGCACTGTTCCACGATGCCGCGCTTCTGCAGGGCCCCCTCCAGACCCAGGGCCAGGCCGCCCTCGCCAGGCGCTCCGCCCAGCTCTGCGTCCCTCGCTGCGGGAGCAAGGCGGGCAGCGGGTCAGGGAGAGAACGCGCTCCCCTGCCTGTCCCCATCCCAGGCCCCCCACCACCAGACCCCAGGCCCCCCGGGGGCGGTGCCAAGGCCAGAGCCCGCACGTGTCCTCGCTGCCCCACACGGACCAGGTCGCAGGTCTTGCAGGACGTGACAGAGGGAATGTCATTGTTCTTTTTAACACTCCCACCTGACATCCCCCAGGGGCCAGGGGCGGGCCTCACCCTGCAGGTCCTCTGCCTCCCTGCGGGCCTTGGGCGTGTAGAAGAAGCCACGCTCCCCGCACACCAGGTACAGCGCCTCCACCAGGTGGGACCCACACAGGTGCTGGTTCACGAAGGCTGCGGTCGGGGCTGGCGCCCAGAGGGCCAGCAAGGCCAGCAGGGGCAGGACACGCATCCAGAGGGCCATGGCGGGGGACAGGGACCTGGGGGATAGACACGGTTGAGGATGGAAGGGGCATGTGTGCCAGCCAGGACCCCCCACCCTGTGCTCACCCCCCAAACGCTCTGAGGCAGGAGCTCCCGTGCTTCTGGGGCCCAGACACCCCACACAAGGAGCCCACGGGGACAGACCTGCTCGCTATCCGGGGCAGGGTGCAGCTGGTCCTGGGGGTTGGCGGCCACGGGGCCCTCCTGGCTTTATAGTCCCTGACCCCAGCTCCTGGCCCATTAGGGCCCCCAGTCAGGGCGGCAGATGGCGGGGGGCTGAGGTGGCGATTTCTGGATCATTTCCCCTGTGCTGGGTCCGCGGGAGCCACTCCTGGCCGTCAGATCCTCCGGGCTGCGGGGTCATTAGAGTCCTAACGAGGGGCCTGATGGCCACTCGCAGCTGGCGCAAATGTCTCCACCCCCCCGTGGCCTTGCCTGAGCCACATTTTCCACATTAGTCCAGGGGAGCTGGGGCCAAGAGGAGGGGCTTGTCCTGCCTGGCCCTGGACCCCTCACAGTCCTTGGTCTGCCCGCCGGGCCCCTCAGATGGTGCAAGGCCATGGGGGGTGTGGGGGAGCGCCCCGTCCCTGCCCCGTCCCTGCCCTGTCCCTGCCCCGTCCCTGCTCACGGTCCCACCCCCGCCCCAGCACAGGAGCCTTGCTGAGACCCTCAGCACCCAGGGCGCTGCCCTGAGCCGAGTGTGGGGACCAGCCGCGGTGTGGACACTCGGGCTAGGCCTCCTCTCTGCCGCGGGGGTAGCACGTAGCCCTGCCCACACTCCCTCTCTGTGCCACCCCTGTTTCTGGTGGGCCTGTCCAGCTCCCCACACTACCCCTTTTAGACCAGCGACTTCCTCGGCTGTCATATGGTTTGGGCCCCTGGACAGGATGAGGAGAGAGGTCAGGACCCCCCCCCCCCCCCCGCCCCGCCACCTCTAGCCATTTCTTGCCACCAGGGTGTGTCTGTGACTAGCTGAGTCCTGCCTCCTCCTGTTGCCCCGGGGGGTGTCAGGGCCAGCCCTCAGCCCTTCCCCAGGTCTCAGCGGGGATCACAGCCCTCAAACATGGCCCCACCAGTGTCTCATGGGCTGAAGAAATGCAGGTATTGGAGGCCTGGGCATGGGCGAGGTGCTTAAGGCACAGGTGACGGACAGACAGACCGCCAGGAAGGGCTGGGGGAGAAGTCTCTGTCTGGGAGGGCCCTGACAGGTGATTAGGAGTTTGCCGGGACTGACATCCTAAAAGCTTCATGCCAGGGCCCTGGTGGGGTGGGGCGGGGATGGCTGCCAGGAGTGAGCAGGGCCTGGGAGACCGGCGGGCATTTCCCACCCCGCAGCAGGGAAGAGGGAAACCCCAGGCTTCTCTCTCCGAGGACAGGGGCAAAGTGGGAGGAGGGAGCCCCTGGGCTAGGCCAGCCCTGGAGGATGTGGGGGGCTCCAGCTGGAAGGCCATATCCAGACCCCTCGAGTGAGGCAACGGGCATCTTACACAGCCCGAATCCTGCCGCAGCCGCCTTGCTGGGACTCAGGCCCAGAGATGTCATCTGTGAGCCAGCGGTGGGACGCCTCTGGGCCCATCCCTGCACCTGCTACGGGCTGGCCCCTATGCCCCTGTCCTCTAGTGGGGACATCCGGCTTGTGGGGAGGGCCCAGCCTGTAGCCCTGCCTTGGAATTGCACCCCCCAAATCCAGAGCTGTGAACCCCAGGTGGGGCTCCCTGGGCCCCCTGCCCCCACACTGCCACACCACGGGGATGAGGCCCCCTTCGTCCCCGAGCTGCTGGGGTCTCGGCGCAGGCTAGTCCTCTGGGGTGAGCAGGGTGTCTTCTCTCTGGCTGGGGCAGCCTGGTGAGGTCTCGAAGGAGGAGGGAGGCGGAAGAGAGACCTGGGGACGAGGCTGGGAGCAGGGTGCGAGCCCGGGCTGGCGCACAGACGCGGAGGGAGGCGCTGGGAGGGCTGCTTCCTTTTATTGAGGCTGTGAGCGGGCGACGTGGGTGGGACGCGGACACCGTGGGCGGGGCGGGGTGGGGTGGGTGGTAGTCTGCGGGGTGCCTTCCAGCAGGGGGGCTCTCTGGTGGGCTCTTGGGTGTCCAGTAACCCCGCCCCTCCCCTGGGCAGCGGCCGGGGGCAGGCCGGGGACGGGAGGGGGGAGACCTCAGGACCTCCCCTGGGCTCCTAGCCGAGGGCGCCCAGTGCACGCGTGAGGGTGTACAGCTCGTCCTGCAGGCTCTCCAGGGACCGCCGGACCGCCTGGGGACTGTCCAGCACGTCGATGGCCAGCGTGTACGGGTCAAACTTCACAGAGAAGGGGCGCTGGATGCGGGAAGCGTAGTCCCTGGGGGAGGATGGAGCTTCGGTCAGCCGGTGGGGCTCGGGGGCACTAGGGAGGTGGGGGGTCAGGGCCGGCTTGGGGCAGGGAGGTGGTCCCCAGTAGAGGGCCTCCTTCATCAGTGCAGGACAAGGGATGCCCGGGCCCCAAAAGCTCCTTGTGACCAACTGATTAGACAAGACGGGGAACCGAGGCCTGTTCTGAGTGGGGGGCAGGGGAGGGACAGGCCTTTCCTCTGCCGGACCCCAAGCCCGCCCCACCCCTCTGGAGGCCTTCCTGGGCTGTGTGCCCCAGAGAGCCCCAGGTCTGTTTCTGTCCCCACACTTGCTTGTAAGGATCCAGCCCTCCCCTCCTGTCCTCCTGTCCACGCCGCTCCTGTCCTCTGGGACTCAGTTTCCCCTGGTTGGAAAATAAGGCTCTTTCCGAGGATGAGTGAGTGGGAGGCATCGGGCTTTGCCCCTCCCAGACGCCACTGGTCATGCACCCCCAGGCCCCCACTCTGGGGACTCCTTGCTCCCTCCAGGCCCCCTGGGCCTCCCCCACCCGCCTTCAGCCACCCCTGCCCCTCCTCTGTCCCAACCGGGTGGCCCCAGCTGTTCTAAAGGCAGGAGGCTGGGAAGGGTCCCACAAACCCTTCGTAGAACGGTCACACTCCACCTCCTCAAACCTGGCCTTGACCTGGCTACCAGTCAGGCAGCTCTCCCCTCCTGCCCCCGGGACTTCGGGGGGTCCTCCTGCGGGAGGGGTGTGCACACCAGGCGCTGCTTGCCGGCTGGCCCTGTCTGGCCCTGTCTGGGAGGGGGGAGGGTCTCAGCCCCGGGAGCCCCGGCCCACCTGAGCTTGCTCTTGGCATCGCTGAAACTCTCGGACACAAAGTACACGGACTGGTAGGTCTGGTCCTGGTATGGCTGCACGGCTACGGCGTCGGGGTCAAAGGCCCGGATCTCGGGCTCCTCAGACAGGGAGTGCTGGGGGGAGGCCGTAGGTTGCAGGACCCCCACACCCCAGGCCTGGAGGGAGCGGGAGCCCAGGGGTCCTCTAGAGGCCTGGGGATCGTGCGGGTGGGACAGGGCAGGCCGAGCCGCCTCAGCGGTCCCTGGCTCCCACCTCCCCGGGAGCCCCAGTGTGAGCGCCCTCCCGGCCTGCGGCCTCACCAGGAGCTCCCCGTAGGAGGACAGCAGCCCGGCGCCGTAGGCCTTCAGCTCGCCGTCCTGCCTGCAGAGCCCGAACTCCACCGTGAACCAGTACAGCTGGTGGGGACGGACGGAGCTTCGGCACAGCCAGCCGCCACCCCGCCGGCCCGTAACGCTCGGCCCTGCCGCACACCCCCCCGGCAGGGCCCGGCTGGGCTCCGGGGTCACAACGTGAAGGGGGCACTCCCTGGACAGAAGCGGGACCTCAGCCCAGAAGGGGTCCCCCCCGCCTGAACCCAGGTGTCCTGAGCGCACCCCCCAAGGCCCTGCCAGGAAGGCACCCACCGTGGACAGCTTCTCGATCTCCTCGTCGGAAGCCCCCAAAGAGGCCAGCCCGATGTCCTGTGGAGGCAGGAGGCAGGAACGGAGCGACTCAGCCCACCCCTGCATGGGTGCCCGTGTGGCCCTGCATGGGTGCCCGTGTGGGGCAAGGATGCTCCAGGGGCCCCCTGGACACTCCCCAGAACGCAAGGACCCTCTGGGGATTTGGAGAGCCTCCCAGGATATGGGGATCCTCCCAGGATGGGGGATCTTTCCAAGATGCAGAGATGCCCCTGGAATCCAGGGACCCTCCCAGGAGCAGGAGAGGGGCCGGGACCCTTCTCCGCGGTTTTCCAGGCAGCCAGCAGGTGGCAGCACAGGCCATGAGACTTCCCAACACCCCCTCCCCCGCCCCCACGCCGCCAACAACCCCTCCTGAACCTCCCCCCTGCTCCCCGTCTTCTCTGCACCATGGGGGCTGGCTCCTCATTTTTATAAGGTTGTTTTCCCAGAATGGGACCCCCCGCCCCTCTATTCCAGGATGATGCCGTCCCCCTGAAGCCTCTGGGACCCAGGCAGGCACCGTCCAGCTCCAGAGGGGCTCGGGCATGGTGCCAGGGTGGAGGGGCACGGGGCGGGGGGTGCAGGCAGCACCAATCGCTGGCCCCCACAGTCCCCAGGCCCCAGCCCTGGACCACAGCGGCCCCCACCTGAGGCCTCTAGGACACACCTGGGAGAATTGAGCAAAGGTGCGGTCAGCCAGCATAGGCACGTGCCCCAGCAGCTCATGGCAGCAGTCCCTGTGGGAGTGGGGAGACGGGTGGCACTGGGGGCTGGGGGGGCCTGCAGCCCAGCCCCCACACCCTCCCTCCATGCTCCGTGGGCTTGGCGCCAGGCACCCGCCAGCCCCATGGAGCGAGGTTGGCAGCAGGTGCATGGCAGAGGTGCAGGGGCGGGGTGCACTCACGGCTCGGGGGAGTGCATGGGGGAGGACCCGTGCCGGATGTACTGTGTGCACTGGAACACTCGGAAGGCCAGGCTGGCCAGGAAGTCCCGGGCGGACAGCAGGCCGGCCACTGGCCGCAGCTGGAAGCCCGTCCGCTCTGCAGGGACCACGGCGGGGGGGGGGCAGTCAGTGCAGGCTGGGGGGCACCCCCCTCCCACGGGGCTCTCCCCGGCAGTGCACACCCTTCAGGAAGCGGGACACGTCCTCCAGCTGGGGGATGCTGTCCTCCCGGTACCCGCTGAAGCGTTCCAGCAGCTGGAAGGCCTCCAGGTGCTCCCGGCAGGCGTGGGTGACGTACAGGCCCTTGAGGGTGGTGTAGACCTCCTTCCTGCGGGCGAGGGTCTCAGGCCTCAGTGCCTGCTGGCCCGGCCCCTCCCCACATCGGGCAGCCCTCCCTGTGGGAGCTCTGCTCTGCCCCCTGGGAGGCTCTGCGGGGGCACCCACTGCTGGCCTCTCGCTGGGCCCTGAAGACCCTGGCCGTTGGGGGCTCCGAGGGACAGAGGGCCATGGGGACACCCGGACCCAGCAGTAGCCTCTCCTTCCAGGCGGATGGTCAGGGCCTTCTCACACGGCCCTCCCTGTCCCCTCCGCCCCAGCAGGGGCCCCGGGGTCTTACCAGGTGGCGATCTCCTCGGCCGTGTACTCCACACGGGGAATGGGGTCGCCACTGCAGACAGGGCATGTGGTCAGCGGGGAGCCTTCGGGGAGGGTGAGCAGGGGCGGGCAGGAGGGGCTCGGAGCCTCGGCAAGTGCCTGCTTCACTCAGCTGGGACTTGGGGGCCCGAGCCACTGACCACAGGGATGGTGCTGGTGACCGAGATGGCCCTCGCCCTGCTGCTGTGGAGCTCTGGGGTGGGGTTGGGGTCCCCGAGGGCCTTACTGCTTGTACTGGAACGCGATCTCCGCGATCAGCTTCCGGCGCTGGCGGTACGCCTGGTCCGAGAAACCCTGGCCAGAGAGTGTCCGATGTGCTCAGGAGGCTACCAGGTGCCCCTTCCCTGCCCACCACCCCCTTCCCTGCCCGCCCCTTCCCTTCCTGCCACACTGGTGGGGTGCCTGGGGGCTGCCGCTAAGCTCGGCCTCAGTGGTTCAGCCGGGAGGTGGCAGACAGGCAGACAGAGAGATGCCCCATCCAGGCATGGCCGGGACCCATGCTCACTGCCCTGGCCACGAGAACAAGGACACAGGAGGCCCAGGGGCACCAGCTCACCGGGTGATCCAAGTCCAGGTCAGGGTCAAACTTGGTGACCAGATGGTGGCACTTGTCCAGTTCGGAAACTTTCCTCGGGAACCAGAGGACTTCAAGGAGGGCGGAGGGAACAGGGGCCTGTGTGAGCATCTGGCTGACCCAGAAGCAGCGTCCCCTGGGTCTTCCTCAGGGTGAGGGGGGACGTGACAGCTGGAAGGTCCCAGAGGGCCTGAGCTGGCAGGGGTGGGGGGACCAAGGCCGCACATGTGGTCACCCCAGGGGTCCCCTGCCGGAGCCTCTACACCCCCGTCTCAAGGTCACGGGTTGTCCACAAGGACAGAGGAAGCAGCCTCACCCTTGTTCTCCCCGGCGCCACGCACGTCCTCTGCCACCCGGCGCACGGAGCTGAGCAGGGCAGGCAGGTCGGCGCTGGGCACCTCGCAGCGCACAAAGTACTCGAGGTGGGGGCCCCCTGCCCGTGGCCTCTGCGCGGGCCGGGTCTCCAGGTGGTGGATTTGGGCTTCAAACGTCTTAGGGAACAAGGGAGAGACAGAGAGAGGGAGAGAGAGACAGAGACAGGGAGAGAGAGACAGAGGGATGGAGAGAGACAAAGATGGAGAAAGAGACAGAGAGGGAGAGACAGAGAAAGGGAGAGACAAAGAGAGAGATGGCGAGAGAGACAGAGAGACAGAAAGAGGGAGAGAGACAGAGAGGGAGAGACAGAGAAATGGAGAGATAGAGAGAGAAGGAGAGAGACAGAGAGACAGACAGGGAGACAGACCCAGGGAGGGAGGGGAGATGGGGAGATGGGAAAGAGGAAGCACCACGGGTCAGCTCCCACAGCCTCGCTCCACGGCCTCGCCCCGGACATCCTCTCCCGGGAACACGCAGGCCGTCCTCCATACACTGGTCAGAGCCTGTGACCTGGGGAGGGCTCACGGCCGGGGGACGGGGTTTCGTCCAGTTTGTGTGATGGGGGTCATCCCTGCAGCCCCTCAACCCAGTGTTCCGGGAGACGTGACGTGTCCCTCAGCCACACCCAGACCGCCTGAGTCCCCAGCCGTTGGCTGGAAGGTCCACCACCCTGGTGGCCTGATCAGGGACTGGGGGTGGGCCCTGGACCCCGCTGTGGCCTCTGTGCCCTGGGGGCTCCAGCCCCTGCTCAGCACCAGCCTGGCAGAGCGGTCCACCCCTGCCACCTCCTGTCGCCCAGCAACAAGGGCACATGGGTCTTGACGGGCCCTCGGGCCACTCGGCCGTCCAGGAGCTGGAGTCCAGCTCTAATGTCATTTGGGCGCCTATGCCAGGAACCTGTGTCCCGCCTGGCCTGGTGTGACCCAGACAGCTAGTACCATCAGCCACCACATTAGCCGGAGCCCCTCAGGGGCAGGCGGGGGAGGGGACCCCGACTTTCCAGGCTGCCCTGCTGGGAACCACACTTTCTCACCTGTGCATTACCCTGTGTGTGACCCAGTGGGGGTGAGGGTGACAGGGAGTCAGGTCTCGGCTCAGGGCTTGGCTCAGGGATTTCCTGAGACCATGAGGGGGACTGTGAGGACCTTGGGACCCCCAGAGCTCTCGGGGGTGCAAAGCCCCAGGCCCAGGGCTCCTGGGACCCTCTCCAGTCACGGCCCTCAGTGGCCCCAGGCAGCCGTGCTTCTGTATGAGTCCCGTGGAGGGGACACCATGTCCACACCAGCCACACCACCCCTGCCAGCCTCACCTCGAATGCCTTCACGGCCCGGGACAGGGACGCGGTCTTGGCGCCACGAAGGGTGAAGAGAAGGTTCAGCGTGGCCTTCCCGTCCTTGTCCTTGAAAACGGCAGCCTCTAGGGGGTCCCCGGGCTCTGAGGAAGCAGCTGACACGGCCTCGGCCTTCTCTCGCTCCTTGCGGGCGTCCTCGATGAGGCTTTGTCGCCGCCCGATGAAGCGCGGGGACTGTGGGGACAGGACATACCCAGCTGCCCTGCACACGGCCGCCCTGTCCCTGGTTCTGACCCCTGGCGTCTTTGAGCAGCTGCTGTGTCCACGGGCGGGACCGGCCGCCCAGGCCTCACCAGCTGGGGCACAACGAAGAGCCTGTCTCCACCCGATGGGGGGCACAGCCAGGAAGATTTGGGGCCACAGCACGGGGGCAGGTGTGGCTGGGGGATGTGCCCACAACACCCACGTGCTGCATGGCCTCTGTCCCCGGCCGCCAACCGGACAAGGTGACAGGTGTGACTCAGGGCCCTGAGGTGGACACTGGCCAGAGTACTGGGGAGGCAGGGAACGTGGGGCCTTGGTTCCTGGGAGGGAACCAGGTTGGGGAGTGCCTGCAAGGCTGGGTGGGCCCTGGGAGTTGGGGGGGGGGTTGCAGTTCCCTGAGCAGGTGGTTTGCAGAACCCAAACCGTGTTTGCATTCAAGACGTAGGAACAAGGCCCATCTGAAATGCGTGGGAGCTGATTTTTTGGCACAATCCTGAGGACGCATAAGACCACTCTTCTGGCCCGAGTGTCCTCCAATCCCCCAGTCTCCTGGAGCCGGGGATGCTGGGCACAGACCTCCTGCCCTTGGGGACTGTCCTGGGGGTCAGGGGTCCCTGGGTGGCTAGGTGGGGGAGGTGGGGTTCAAGGCAGGAGGTCACAGGTGGGCATGAACAGGTGGCCGGTGGACAGGTGGATGGCAATGGCAATCACCCAGGAGCCCCGATGACCCCTGGGCTCGGGATTGGGGTCTGACCCTCTGTGTGGCCGGCACCTCCCGCAAGGAGCCGCCACCAGGGCCCAGGACACTGTCACACACACACCAGGGAGGGGCCCCCTCAGAGCTTTGACCACCCCACAGTGGGGCGGTCAGGGGTCGCCTCCCAGCCTGGGCAGAGCAGGTGCTCAGGGCCAGGACCCCGCCCCGTGGCCAGGTCTGGGGCGTCATGGGGACCCCGAGTCCAGGTCCCCTGCCAGCCTTCAGGGGACACCTCCGTGCTTCCGGCGCGTGTTGGCCATCAGGCCCCGGCGGCCCCCTTACCATGATGGCTTCGGCCTGCTTGGAGTCCAGCTCGGAGACAGCCCTGCGGAAGCCCTTGGCCTGTGGCGAGGCGGCGTTGGGAGTGGGCATGGCGCTGGCGTCCGTCCGGGGCTCACCTCCAGCAGCCCTCTGCCGGGCGGCCTCTTATAGGCTGAGCTGACGTCAAGGCCCCAGTGGGTCCCCCACCTCCCACCTCCCTGCATCCTCCCTGCCGCCTGAGGGAGGCGGTGGGCGGGAGTGAGGACGGGAAGACGAGCTGGAGAAAGGGCTCTGTCCCATTAAATCTAATTGCAGTCCTGCCTGAGGCACCCAGCAGGGGCGGCCGCCTCGCTCTGAATCCTCTCGGCTCCAGAGGACGGGCTCTGCCGGGCTGGGGACAGCTGGGTCCCCTTAGCTCCAAGCCCTGTGGGGAGACGGGGGTACACAGGGAGGTGCTGTCTGGGTGCCCCGAGAGTGCACGTGGCAGGTGGCCCAGAGACCCCCGAGAGGAGAAACCGACTCGAACCTCAGATGCTGGGAGCACGTCTGCTTTTCCAGAAGGCTCTTCACCAGACTTCCCAGCAAGGCGCCCAGCCTGCTTCCATTAGATGCCACCCACAGGAGTGTCACGGGTCCCTCGTCCCGTTTCCCTGGGCCTGGATCCCCAGGCTCAGCCAGTGAGACATGGAACGTTCCAGAAGGGCCCATCCCTCCAGTGTGAGGAGCCCGGCAAGCAGAGGGAGGGACGTCTATAACAACTGTCCCCTGGTCTCTGTGTCCCGTCTCCTCTGGCCAGCAGCCCACCCTCTTGTGGCCCACCCAAGGCCCCCTGTCCCTCCATGTCCCCCCAAGGCCCTCTGACCATTTCTCATTCCAGGAACACACCCGTCCCCGAGTGTCAAGGGTCCTGGTCCCAGAGACGGGGGGCCAGGAGGGGAGCCTCTGCGTCAACCTGCCAGGGACATCTGTGGGCCGCAGGGCGGGGACATTTTGGCCGAGACCTCCGGTAGCTCCCAGGCGATTTGGAGATAAGTTCCTCTTGGGAAAGGTGCTCTCTGAAGGCGCATCTGCTTGATGCCCTGGGCACTGTGGGGTCAGCAGGGACAGTCTAGCCAGAGCCTACCTGGGAGGTGTGGTGTGGAGAGAGGGGAGGACCCCCTCACCAGGACACCACCCCGCCTGACGGGGCTGCCGCAGGAGGTGTGCCTTCTGCCGTCGGGCAGACCAAGGCGTCAGCTCCCGGACTCCCCCTCCTTACCCCCACAGGTCCGCTCCTGGCTGGCCACCCCTCTCCTCCAGGACCTTCCCCCAAACTGGTCTGACCACGGTACTTTCTTACTTCCCCACCCTTTATGGCTCCCCAAGGTCCTCTGGAAGCAGCTGGGGAGCTCTGTCAGTGCAGGGGGACGCGCCTCCTCCCAGCTCCCCCTGCTGCTCTTCTCACCCTCGGCTGTCCCCACTTCCTGCTCCAGGAGGGCCTGGGGGTCCGTGATACCCAGTGTGCCGTATTCACCCCCTTCTTCTCCTGGTGAGCTCCTATGCATTCCACAAAACCCAGCTCAGCCACTGTTCATCCGGTGAAGTCTACCCTTTCTTGTTGCTGATGTTAGCCTCCCTCCTCCGCTCCCCTGGCTGGCTCGTTCCTCTTCCTCTGCAAACACCCTGAGGCCAGGACCCCGGCTGCCGGGCCCCCTGTGTCTCTTGGTGCCTTGTCTGGGCACCGGCCTGACTCATTGCCTAGGCGCCGGGCTCAAGGGCACGTCTCAGCAGCCACTGCTGCTGGGGACCAGGCCCCAGCAGGTCTTCCATGGGGATGTCTGTATACCCTGAAGGCACTGGAAGAATTTGCTCTGAGACCCCAGGGTGCGGCCAGGGCCAGGCTCTACCCCAGGGCACTCACCCAGAGGCCTGTCCACTCCCACTGCCCCAGCAGCACCCCCGAGCCCCTGGGGCCCCCAGCCAGCACGCAGGCCTCCTAGAACTCTGAGCAGGCTCTCCTCTGCCCCCTCCAGGGTGGGCTGCCAGAGACCCCTTAGGGATGCGGATGCAGGCCCCCCAGTTTGCAGGGGGCGCCGGGCAGGGGGGTCAGCGCCGCCCAGGACGGACGAGCAGCTGAGTGTGGATTTAACCTTTCGGCAAATGTCTTCTGCTGACACGAATATTGTTTTTTAATTCCTTTGCCTACCTGAGCCAGCGTGGGCGTGCGCGGAAGCTCTGTGGGAGCTAAGCTTCCTTCCCCGGGGCCGGGTGGCCGTGGGCAGGAGAGCAGAAGCCGCGGACACCCTCCCGATGGGCGCACTGCCCCTGCTGGCCTCCGGCTTCACCCCACCCGGTGTCCGTCTGTCCACGCACACAGGGGTCCATCCTGGGAAGCCTTTCCCCCACACACCTGCCCTGTAGGGCTGTCCGACCACACTGGGCCCCATCCGGGCCCCTCCTCCACACCCTCAGGTCACCCCAGGCAGCATCTTCTTTCCTGGCTAGACACTGTCTCGTCCTCTCACCTGCCTGTGGGCCCCCCTGCAGTCAGGGTATCCCCGGCTCAAGCCCAGAGGGAGATCTGCAGTGCCTGCCTGCAGATAGCTGAGGCCTCCATAGACCCATTCTGCAGACAGCACACTGAGGCCCTAGGCGGGTGATTTCTCTGGGTCCTACAGTCTCTCAAGCCCAGGACCCCCAGCTCCCGGACGATCCAGGGCCTCGGGCCACAAGGGGAGGGATCTAAGGGGCAGACGGAGACCAGCGGCCCCTGCCCCACACCACCGCAGAAGAGGCGGGCACCAGAGGAGGACACGGGGTCCCTGCAGCCCAGACAGCCCTGGGCCATGAGCGGGTCTCGGGGTGGGGGCAGGGTGATGAGCAGAGGGGTTGGGGCCAAGGGCGGTGCAGGTGTGCTCTGGGGCCTCATCCGGAGGAGGGGCCAGCCCCTGTGCAGCCCCCCCGCCCCTCCTGTCACCCTGAATGATCAGAGCCATCAGGCCGGGCCCTCGGGACAGGTGCTGAACTGGGGACTTGCTCTCACGGTCTCTGCGCCCGGGCCTCCAGAGGACGTGATGGCCCATGATGACAGAGACTGGCATCGACCAGGCACTGGGCGTGGGGCAGGGGCGGGGCTTTGGGGTTGTGGGGCCTGTGCCAAGGCAGGGCTGCTCCCCCCCCCCACAGGCACGCTGCCTCGCCCATGGTGGGACCCCCGCCCTTCCTCTCCTCCCCAAACCACAGGAGGGCTGAGTCTGAGCTGCAGAGGGGAACAGACGGGGGCCGCTCTCTGGGGGTCCTCACGCGGGGGCTCTGCAGGGCGCCACCATCAAAAACCACCTGCCAAGAGTCTGAGGTCCGTGCTCCCCAGCAGTCCGGGGCCAAAGGTTGCTTCCGCGGCGTGAGCCGGGTGAAGGTCTCTGTCAGTGGGCATCGTTCGTGCCCTGGGAGAGGTACACGCCCGTGGGACACATGGTCCCCGGGCCCAGGGCAGGCCCCTCCCAGAGCCCGGAGCCTGGGACGGGGTCCCCGCTCATGGGATGACAGGCCTGCAGGGGCCACACCACACCCCTCTGAGGCCTTGCAGGGCACTCAGGGTGTCATGCTGCGCTGGGCCACCCCTGGGCACCCATGGACCTCAGGGGCTGCATCCCGTGCTTCCTGCCTGGGGACACCCACCTCCAGCCTTGCCCAGTGTGGGGGCTCTGGGGCCCTGCCCCACGTTTGGGGACAGGCGGGGGAGCAGTCGCCCACTTTTCCCCAAGCTGGAAGGAGACCCAATACGCCTGTCACACCAGCCCTTTCAGAGCTGAAATGTCAGAGCAATTAGCTCTAACGAGGCCATCGGATGGAACCGAGCGGCTGGGCGAGATGGCGCACGGGGTTGGGGGGTGGGGGGGGCCGCACAGCAGGTCGAACCCGGAGCCGCTGTCCCACCGGTCGATCTGATGCACTCAGGATAATTGGGCATTTGGAAATCAGACCTACAGGAAGAGACAGAGGGGGAGTCTGCCCTGTCTCCCCTGCCCCCTCCCCCACTATGCCGGCCCCCTGCAGTGACCCTCCTGGCTCCCTACCCCAGACACTCCGGCCAGGCCCCAAGGCCCGATGGCTGCCCCCTCCCGGGCAGACCTCCCTCCTGCCTCTTCTCTGAACTCTCTTCCCAGGGGGGTGGGGGGGGGGGGGTTGGGGGTAAGCCTATGCCTGACAGAAGGCTGGGCTCCTGGCTCAGGGCTGGCAATCCACCTTTGGAGGGGTGGGAAAGGGGAGTCTTGCTCTGTCCCCTGTCCCATCCCCATGGGGAGGAGGGACACCAGGTCCCACTGACCCCTGGGATTAGTGCTTTCAGGACTCTGGAAAAGCGCTCCACACCTTCCCTAAGAGTGCCTGTCCTAGGGTCCTTCCAGCCAGGGCTGGGAGCAGAGCAGGCAGGCTGCCCCCACCCCCGTGCTGACATGGAAGGGAGGGCAGGACCGAGTGTGATCAGACCCAGACCCCGCATGAAGGGGGGAGGAAGGAACCGCAGGATGTGCCGAGGCCCAGGGGATGGGGCTGGGGGCTTCCAGGCAAGGGGAACCAGGTGCCCAGAAGGTCCCAAGACCAAGGTGGGGAAGGGTTGGAGGAAGGGAGGGGAGGGGATGGAGGGGCAGGTCCCAGAGGCCCCAGAGTCAGGTGGCCCCGGCCAGCGAGGTGTCTGAGGGCTCCGGGACTCCCAGCCCACAGAGCACCCTGACTCCTCCCTGCCTGGGTGCCTTTGAGGGGCGGATGCTGACCGCACGCCCGGCTCTGGCCGAAGCCGCCACCCAGTGCCCTGCAGGTGCCGCAGGGCCGTGAGCGCCCCTGGCCACACGCCTGCCTGGGCTCAGGGCCCCACGCTCAGGAGCTCCGCCGGTGACTCCAGCGGTCCGTGCGTGCGTGTGCCGGCGGGAGCGCCTGCGCTCGGGTCCTGCGGGAGCCGGTGCGTCCCTGTGGCGGGCCACGGGGCCTCAGAAGGCCTGACCGGCCACGGCCGCTGACCCAGGGGGCGGCTCCCGGCTCCATGCCACGGTCGGGGCCTCAGCCTCCTGCCGGGAGCTCTGGGTGTCTCGGGGTCCCCCCTTCAGCCCCGCTTGGTCCCCTGCAGTGACTCAGCA